GCTCCTAATATGTCTCGCCTGCGGGCCATCGCTTCCTCACGAGTTGTCAGTTGTGGTAATTGTGCACATCTTATCGGCGCCGACATAACCATCGCCTCTGAGACTGCGTTCACTAACTCATCGTTTCTGTGGACAACAAATGCTTGATTGTGTCGAGAGATATATTGTGATGAATACTCACTGCTTTTGGTCAACACATCCATCCAGTGATCTAATGCTGTGAACAATGGTCTCGAAGACAATGCGGGCATTGTTTCGGATAACAAGTCTCTCGTCTTTTATTTGATGTGACATTTGGTATGTCTTTATTAGGACTGTCTTTAGTAGTGAAGTGTGCGACACGTGTTGGCGTCGACCCATTGTGTGCTCAACCAATAGGAAACCAGTTCTCAACACGTGTTTCACTCGATTAAAGGTCTATTCGTTTGGATTAAGTGTTGATTTGAATGACAAAAATGTAATCAATTATTGAGTCATTTGTTGTCGTTTGCCATTCACTCACTGCACACACCTCTACCCCATACACACTCTGCGCGCGCATTCATTACACACAACACATGACTCGTAAGTATTGACAATTAAGACCACCAATTGATCCATTCATACAATACTAACAGTAATCACAGCATTAGATCCACGACTCGTCTCAAGACATGTCTCGTCGATTAATACCATATTTAATATACAATTGGTTTGACTATTATTTGTTAGCTTTGAATCTGCGATTGTGTACAACGATTGCCATAACAACCAGAATCTGAACCCAGAATTAGTGTCACAACAAAACACATAATCATTAAAACACTTATAACTCGTATAACAGTTTGTAATGACTTTCGGCACTAAAATGGGTGACAATAAAGACATACACGAAGAGAGCGGTGGCGGCGGCGGTGGGAACGACGGCCAGAGTCCGGGCCACGCGTTCGCACAGCTCTACCAATCGATGCACGACTTGAGTGACAAACTTCTGGCAATCGATTACCACAAAGAGTTTGTCCGTCAATACAATTGTCCGCCGATTTCGCGATACTATTTCTGTCGGCAGACAAACGCCGGCCAACAGTACCAACAGTTGTATACATTGGCCGCTCTCTCCGCTTATCTCTTGCATAAACTCAGCCCTAATGTCAACATCAATGTCGACGACTTGGACGACCCGATGGCCACTATTAACGCCATCATAGAGTCGGCCAAAGAGTTGATAGACATGACCGTCGACTACAACAACGCCAATAAACTAAGGCTCGGTTACGGACACGAGTGCATCGATTTGTTGAACCATTTGGCGAATAAAGTGATGGAAACTAACGACAAGTTCAACGACAGGAACAATGAGATTGTGGTCAACGGTTGCGACCATTTCAACGACGAGAACATATCGGAAGAGTTGGCTTCGGATGAGATGAACGCCACGGATCTGCTCGAAGAGGACTACGACTATAACCTCTCGGGTGACAAACAGGAGATCGTCGACGAGGAGTTGCCCGACACGACCGGCGGCCGCGCGACCGACACAATCGACACGTCTATTATGCGGTCGGAAATGGATTTGAATGAATGGAAGACAGAAGTGGAACGAGTTTTACCGCAACTCAAGGTAAGGGTTGGCGGCGGCGGTGACCACAAGTCGACGGACAACGAGTGGCGGACGCACTACAACTCGTTGGCCGCCAACTATCGGCAAATGCGGACGCATTGCGAACAGACGTACGGCTCGATTGAGACACTTCTGCATGAGTTGCGGCAAAACGATGAGAAAATCAATTCACGCGAGAAGTACTTACGGCAACAATTGGAGGACATTATCGACGAGTTTGTGTCCATTCGGGGCAAAGTCGGTAAACTGCGCGACGATTACTCACTGGTCAGCGCCGGAGTGGTCGCAAAGTCGGCCCAATTGGCCGAAGTGTCCGCTCTTATAGACGGCATGAAACAGGAGATGGAGTTATACGGCAACCAAATGATCGATTCTTCGCCACTCATTGTCGCCAAACGGGCCAAAGAGGTGCTCAAAGAAGAGCTCAACTCAATTGAGTTTTGCATAGGAGTCGCCGTTCAGACGCTTATCGTTAACAATAAGCATTAATTATAATTGCTTTCAATTGATTCACATTTTGAACACAAAAAATTAAAAACAAACATTTTTTTCGATGAGCTTTGAATTGATGTGAATATTGAGTTGTGTTGTGTTGTGTTGTGTTGTGTTGTGTTGTGTTGTGTTGTGTTGTGTTGTGTTGTGTTGTGTTGTGTTGTGTTGTGTTGTTTGCGCTCAAAGTTTGCCCAAAACGGAGGTCGGGTCTGAGTTCACGTCCGCAAGTGCTTACAGTTTGACAGCACTGCAAACACCTCTACTCATTGGCACTAATGCTGACCCCTGCAGGTGTGACGCAAGCGATAGCAATGGGAAATGACTGTCACGTGACTCAATGCCTGACGCATTGCACGCTATTATTGTGAAACGTGTCCCACATTTGCATCACATTTGCAGACAAACAACACATCCATTGTTTTGAACATATTTTACAAACCAATCCATTGAATCACTCGACGGATCAGCTTATGTGACCACTCATTCACTCTATCATATCATAACATTGTGTGTCTGTCTGCGCGAGTAGTTGTTTGTCCATTGGTCCACCGTTTGTCTGTTATTTCACTCATTTGTTTATATTTTTGTCCATCACTTCCCGCGTGTCTTAAGCCACCGAAACGATGGCCAACGAGAACAACATTAACGGCACGAATCGCGCCGACAGTGCGGTAACCGATGCGCTGACCGCCGATGAAAAGGTGGCACTCATTACACGCAACCTTCAGGTAATCATTTGATGGAATTGTGCCAAAACTGATCCACTAATTGATCCCACATTTTGATTGCCTTTTAATGACCGAAACACGACTCAAACGAACACAACAGGAAGTGTTAGGCGAAGACCGTTTGAAAGAGATTGTTAACACCCGTGACGTACGGATCTATTGGGGAACTGCGACCACCGGTCGGCCACACGTGGCGTACTTCGTGCCGATGTGTAAGATCGCCGACTTTTTAAAGTCCGGGTGCGAAGTGTCGGTACTGTTTGCCAATCTTCACGGCTATCTCGACAATATGAAGAGCTCGTGGGATCTGCTCGAACACCGCACCCAATACTACGAGTCGGTGATCAAAGCCATGTTGACCTCCATTGGCGTCCCGATCGACAAATTGAAGTTCGTTAAGGGAACCGACTATCAGCTGAGCCGCGAGTTTACGCTCGATGTCTATCGCCTGTCATCGATGGTCACCGAACACGACGCCAAGAAAGCCGGCGCTGAAGTGGTCAAACAGGTTGACCACCCGTTGATCAGTGCTCTCTTATACCCCGGACTCCAGGTCTGTGTCTAATTGATTGTGTTTTTGTTTGTTGTGTTTTATTTAATGATTTGTCAAAATTGAGTTCAAAATTATTTGCTTACAAGTTGTCAGTTAATGTACAACTGGTTCACTGTAACGAGCGTTTGTGTACGCCTTTTATTATAATTACTGTCTCTATAGTTATACTGATTGTTATTTTACTATCAAATAGTTTTTTCACTTTTTATAATTATTTTAATTTAATGCAATCATTTTGAATACAACGAATTGTAATTAACAAAACAAGAATCTAGTTTCAATTTTACAATTGTTTGGCTAATTATAGGGTATTTTCAGTACTAATGTTACCATTACTGTCACAATTAGAGTTTTATTAAATGGTTTTATTATTAATTAATCGCAGAATAACTAAAAATGTATTTTTTTGCATTAAATAATTCATTAATAGTGTTGTTTTGCCTTCAAATGCTGTATTCAATGCCAATGTTATACACAGTTTGTTTGATTGTTAGAAATGATTACAACGATTAACGTAATACCAGTTTATTAAATATTGAAACTTTTTTTTTACTTTTCTATTGAGAAAAAACTTGTTTTTTTAAAACTTTTTTGTATTAATAGTAATATCAGTAATAATTATATACCTCTCTATCGGTCTGTGTCTGTGGCGATGTGTCGGTCACTGTGTGTTGGGTCGGGTGTAGGCGTTGGACGAGGAGTACCTGAAAGTGGACGCCCAGTTCGGTGGTGTGGATCAGCGCAAGATCTTTACTTTTGCCGAGAAATATTTGCCACAATTGGGTTACACTAAACGCATTCATCTCATGAATCCTATGGGTACGTGTTTTAACGCCTATTTTTAATGGCGATCGACCCCTACCCCTCTCGGCTGCCCCCTAATGACCAATCACTGACTGCCCTCCCGGTGCCTAACCGTATGTGTGTATTGCAGTTCCGGGCCTATCGGGTGGCAAAATGTCGTCGTCGGAAGAGGACTCGAAGATTGATTTGTTGGACTCACCGGATGTGGTGAAGAAGAAGCTGAAGAGAGCGTTCTGCGAACCGGGAAAGATCGCCGACAACGGGGTGTTGGCCTTCGTTAAGCACGTGGTGTTCTCCCTCTTCGACACGTTTGTGATCGCACGCAAAGAGGCCAACGGCGGAGACCTGACGTACGCCCACTACCAGTCCCTCGAAGACGATTTTGTTCAATTGGTACGCCATATGAGTGACCAGTCCTTTGGTTACTAATAATAAATTTTTCGTTTGTGTAATAGGTTTGCATATATTTGTAATTATGTTGTTTTGTTTTCACAGCGCTTACATCCCGGAGACCTGAAGGCGGCCGTCGAGAAGTACTTGAATCGTCTGTTAGAACCGATTCGCGAGACATTCAAAGACCCGAAGCTGAAGAAGTTGACGGACAACGCCTACCCATCGCTCGACAAAAGTATGGCTTATATTCGGTTTGATTTTGAATACAATGTCTAAAACATATTCACCAATTGTATGACAAACTAGAGGGCAAAGTAGTGGCCACAAGTGCTAACGATATCAATCCATCACTGCTGGACATTCGGGTCGGAAAGATTGTGGACATAGAAAAGGTTAATAAAGTCTAATAAGTGAACCAAAAACATGAAACAATTAACTTAATTGTGTTACTGCTGGACAGCATCCGGACGCCGACTCCCTATATGTGTCGCAAATCGATTTGGGAGACGCAGACGGCGGCACCCGAACAGTGGTCAGCGGTTTGGCGGCACTCATGTCGCGGGAGTCACTGCACGAGCGACTGGTCGTAGTGTTGGCGAACCTAAAGCCGGCCAAAATGCGTGGCGTAGAGTCGCGCGGAATGATTCTGTGCGCCTCAACAGACGAGCCCAGACAAGTGGAACCGCTAAACCCCCCGTCCGGCAGCCAACCCGGCGAACGGGTGTTTGTCGAGGGCTACTCCCGGCCCGCGTCCGACACTTGGGAACAGTTGAACCCTAAGAAGAAGGTGTGGGAGAAGTTGCAGACAGACCTCCGCACGTCTCACAATGGTTTGGCCGAGTGGTCGGGCAATCCGTTGGTCACCACCCGTGGTCTCATCACGTGTAAGTCGATGTCCAACGCGCCCATCAAATAATGATCACGTGATTTAGTTTTCTAATTATTGCTATAATTGTATATTTTTATTATATTTCTTATAAATTAATTACATTTTAAATGTTCTGTTTTTTGGTGTCATTTAATAAATATATTTATGAATTTAAATACATAATCGGTTTCAGCATTAGATTAATAGAGAGAGAGGGGGAGAGAGAGAGAGAGAGAATGTTTTTAATATATGAATATTAGGATGATTTTACGCGTAAATAAGTGTTATATGTGATGCAATTGATGGTCAACTGATCCGATGAAGAATACGATTTATGTGTTCGGCTGTCGACTGCTCTCGTGGTTTGTGATCAGAATTAGTGATTGATATAACAGTTAATACTAAAACATTTTACTTAAACCAACAGCTCATCGGACGAACGTATGGCCGCCAACTGTCCCGAACAGCCCCTCTTCAGCGGTCCTAATGGACAACATTTTGGCCTTACATTGAGTTAGGAGTAATGGACTCTCGAAACAGCCCCTCTTTTTGGGTGGCATATCATGTGATCGATTGGTGTCGACAACCGGTCTATCATTGGTGTCAACACTTGTCTTCTTAGCGCCAGAACTGATCCCCTCTTTGGATGACTTTCGCAACGATAGGCGCCGATAGTCCTGACGGCGCATATGAATGCGGCCTAACGTCGAGAAATTGGTGACAATTATGACGAATCCGAGACAATACAAGATTCCCGACTGGTTTTTGAACAGACAAAAGGACATCAAAGACGGGAAGTACTCTCAGGTGACGAGTAATGCGTTGGAGAGTAAACTCCGCGAAGACTTGGAACGGCTGACGAAGATTCGCGCCCATCGGGGGCTCAGACACTACTGGGGGTCAGTATTACGGCTATTGTCTTGTTTTTATTGTTTATTTTGTATCAGACATTGTTTTCATTGATTGATTGTTACGCAGACTTGGAGTGAGAGGACAGCACACGAAGACCACCGGCTAATCATTTGGCAGCTCAGGACTGGACGCGGTGTCGGATTCGCTGTTGACGACCACTTGCATGGATAGGTCGCTGCGATCTCCTAACGGGTGGTCTGTAATGAAGGCCAAAATGGCTGCGCGAAGGGCTTCATTGTCCGGATTGAGGCCGCGAAGAGAGTTGACAACGCCTTCAAAGCGGTCGGAGGCTTCAGTGTTGTAGAGTTGTGACCAACCCGTGGGTAGGCGTGAGCCGAGTCCGTACGCCTGTTGGAGAGCTGTAATCAAGCGATTGCTATAACAAAGAGAGACAAGGAATGAGTGGTGAGGAGAGGGTGTTGTGTAATGTTGTGGCCGTAACTCACGTCACATCAACCGCTTCGTGACGTATGGGCAGAATGTTTGCGATCAGATCCCTTACGGCCCGAACCGTTGAGACATCTGAAGACATTGTTTGGGTTGTGGTGTGTTGTGAACGCCTCAGCACTCGTATCAGTAATGACTGATTGGCTTTCACTTTGCGACCCATTATCTGCTCAAAGGGGGCGCACGTGTTGTCACGTGTTGTCACTAATGATCACTCATTTGTACGCCGATTACAATTTGACATTTAAATGCATTGTTGACTGCACTGCACACACCTCTACCTCATACACACTCTGCGCACGCATTGATGACTCGCACACACGACTCATGTGAGGCTTTATTAGTATTAAAAAGCGATTTCGTGTTCACTTGTGTTCACTTCGGTATTGAATTCGTTGAAAACATTTACAAATGTTTGGCACAAACTCTGCATTCAATGTAAATGTTGTTTAATTTGCATTGAATTGTAATTATAGTTAGATTTAGAAATAAATGATCGCTTTTTATGTGAAAACAACTATTATTTGTAATTAAAAATTATTTAAATGTCAAACAAAACGAAATTATTTTTGCTCAACAAAAATGTGTTTTTTGTGTTTGTAATTAAGTTTATGTTTTAATGTTAAGTGTTTTTAATTGACAATTAAAAGTTATGTCATTATAAATAGTGTTTTGTAATTAATGCTGTCATTTAACCACGAGTTTTATATTTGTTTTTAATTAATTTATATCCAATACAAAGCGATCAAAACATTTTTCATTCAAAGACATATGTTTTCAAATTGAAAATTTCAATGCAAACCATTTAAATCATGTGTTTTTAAATTAATTATTAATTGAATTAATTATTAGATTTAAAGTATTCATTGAATATATAATTGTGTTTTAATAACAAATATATTTTTAATATAAGATTTTTATAATCATGTCTTCAAATGTGATGTCATTTTCGCTCATTTTATGTATATTTGTATTGAAAGTGACGTATTGTTGGTCAGCGGCGGTCGCGGCCACCGATCCCGACAGACATTACTTAAAACACCAGCAAATGACTGATTATTTGAATGAATTGCAACACAAATACAAAGATTTAGTGCAATTGTCATCCATCGGGAAGAGTGTCCAGAATCGGGACTTATGGACACTGCGGCTGACGGCCAACAACGGCACGAGTGGTGGTGTGCGGCCACAGTTGCGGCCAATATTGAAGCCAATGTTGAAATACGTGGCCAACATTCACGGCAACGAAGCGCTGGGCCGACAGCTGTTGCTAACGCTGGCCAAGTATTTGTGTGAAAACTACGGCACCGATGAGCGGGTGACCAGAATTTTTCAGGTACTCCTCGTCCAACGCCTACACCCGACCCAACACACAGTGACCGACACATCGCCACAGACACAGACCGATAGAGAGGTATATAATTATTACTGATATTACTATTAATACAAAAAAGTTTAAAAAACAAGTTTTTTCTCAATAGTAAAAGAAAAAAGTTTCAATATTTAATAAACTAGTATTACGTTAATCGTTGTAATCATTTCTAACAATCAAATCAAACAAAATGTGTATAACATTGGCATTGAATACAGCATTTGAAGGCAAAACAACACTATTAATGAATTTTTTAATGCAAAAAAATACATTTTTAGTTATTCTGCGATTAATTAATAACAAAACCATTTTAACTCTAATTGTGACAGTAATAATAACATTGGCACTGAAAATACCATATAATTAGTCAAACAATTGTAGGATTGAAACTAGATTTGTTTTGTTGGTTACAATTCGTTGTATTCAAAATGATTGCATTAAATTTAAACAATTAGAAATAAAGTGAAAAAACTATTTGATAGCAAAATAACAATCAGTATAAGTATAACTATAGAGACAGTAATTATGATAAAATGCGTACACAAACGCTCGTTATAGTGAACCAGTTGTACATTAACTAACAACTTGTAAGCAAATGATTTTGAACTCAATTTTGATTTGATTCAAAACAAACAAATCATTAAATAAAACACAATCAATTAGACACAGACCTGGAGTCCGGGGTATAGGAGAGCACTGATCAACGGGTGGTCAACCTGTTTAACAACTTCAGCGCCGGCTTTCTTGGCGTCGTGTTCGGTGACCATCGATGACAGACGATAGACATCGAGCGTAAACTCGCGGCTCAGCTGATAGTCGGTTCCCTTAACGAACTTCAATTTGTCGATCGGGACGCCAATGGAGGTCAACATGGCTTTGATCACCGACTCGTAGTATTGGGTGCGGTGTTCGAGCAGATCCCACGAGCTCTTCATATTGTCGAGATAGCCGTGAAGATTGGCAAACAGTACCGACACTTCGCACCCGGACTTTA